TTTACGTTACATGAAAGTAGTGTTAGAAGTACCTAGCTCCACAGCTGGTGCACAGATGTGCAGAGTTTCATTTCAACTTAGCACATTCTTCACAACAGAAAAAGCAGAAAGAAACCAGAGACGATTTTTGAGCGCATTTCTTCGACTCTCGTAATCTGCGTAAACTAAAAGTTTCACATCATGCCATAAGAACGCAATTGATGGTAATGCAGGGTCTGGTAAACCTGGTAGCGGTTTTTGTTTGCACTAACTCTTGTTTACATACCAAACCACGCGGCATTTTGTGAGAAACTAGAACATATGCGCGATGTCGACTGATGATCTACCAATCACGCGCTCGATACGAGACTCCCCCCGTCACTACCCGTACCCTACCACCAAATAGATCTAAAATGCATATTTTCTGCGCATAAGTCATTATTAAAATAGCTGCCGGTACCTGTGCCACGTGCAGTGCAAGTCAATGACCTTTAGATCAACCACGGTCACCGCAATTAAATAAAAATAAGAATTTAGGAAATTTTATGTTCGATTTATTTTTTTACTGATTTGGGTTCAGTTTCGGATGTAGAATGACCTCTGTAAATATGGCGAGAATGCAAATTAACACATTATATATCAAATAAACAATACCTATTAGACAATATCTTATCCGTTGCTCTAACCCCAAAGTAAGTAAATGAAGCCATTTTTGTTATGGAAATCGGACACAACGACAGTACCACAAATACCCATACCATACCCATACCCGTGACAGTATAGAAAACTTACTTTTCTATACTTTCACTGTTGACCCGGCTGGGGATCACACCCGGGACCCCAAATACTGTTATCAGGTCTTCAAAGATCGAATTTCACGATTTAACCGCACTCTGAATAATAAAGTGACATCGTTCTGAAACTAGCATTTTGGGAAACCGGCAATGTAAATAATAATTTATACGAAATAAAAATTTATAATTACAAAAACAAAAATCTTAATTTATTCATTGATTACAATGTTGTCTACTTCAAATTTATCCTTCAAATATATATTTGTGCCAGCGCTTTCTTCAATCCTCAACGCATTTATGGAACGCAATTTTCAGCAATTCAGTCTTTATCTCCTCAATGTTGTCAAAACATACTTTCATGGTTGTTTTCAGTTTCGGAAATAGGAAAAAGTCACAGGGGGCCATGTTCAGTGAATATGGCAGTCGAGGCTTCGTAACGCCGTTATAATTATATATTTTTAGCCAAAAATTCACGAGCCAGTTAGTTGTGGACATATTTTGTTGCCACCCGTTTTATCACCAAAACATTTGTAAATATTGTTTTAAATTGAAAATGGCTTTGTATTGACCAAAGCCGTGTTATAGTTTTATTGCGTTCAAAGTATGATTCAAAGCACTAGAAACCACACTCAAGTCCTTGCCATTAGAGTCGTATTTCCAGTGCTTGAAATCATACTCAAGTCTGCTCAAATCCTGACTTGAGCATTGAGTAGAGTTCTGGAATACGACCCTTTTGCTTTTTGTTTTCGTTTGTAATTTTTGTACATTATATCTGGTCACTTAAGCAATACTTCTGAGAGGATGTATGTCCAAATTCTTTTATCATACACTGGAATCATGGGTATATCATTTTTCATTTCAAACATTTTTGTGTATCAATTTTTCCCGTTTCCTATAAATTTGAAATTAGACCTCCTCCTGATGACGTCTGTGGTCGAGTGGCTTGAGTGTATATCGGTCTTCATGGGTCACCATCTCTGGGATTCCGGTTTCGATCCCCGTCTGGGTCAATGTAGAAAACTAACTTTCTATACTTCTCGAGTCTGGGTGTTTGTGGTACAGTCGTTTCCGATTTCCATAACACAAGTGCTTTAGCTACTTACCATCCCAAAGATCAGAGCAACGTAGTTATATGAATGACACTTATACAATGTACAGTAAAAATATAGGTTTTTATGTGACATTCTACATGGCTACTTGTAATCGCTATTGCAAGTTTGATGTACTTGTAAAAATATTTGACGTACAGAAAAACAGGCAAACACTCACAAATATGACCGTCACACGTGGAGCCAAATAAAGAGTTAAAATAATAAATATTTCCACAGTGTGGACGGTTTACTTGCGTATTTGCCTATTTGACTCCTTTGATGTGCATCGAGAAACCGATCAGCGCGCGGTAACGCTAGTCTGGTGTTTGTCGAATAGACAAACAAGACAAATACTTTGTCACACATACTTTCTACATGTGGTGATTGTTTGCAAAATGTATCAAATAAGCAATACAAAATAACCATATGAATAGTGCTACCAAAACAGTTACCTTTGTATTATTGCGAGCGTAAAATGTTTGTATGTTATTTTCTCTTATAGAAGGAAATGGAATTCGGGTCATTTATTAGTATTCCAAAGAACGGATTACATCCGCATCATGTAACTTCCCATAATATCTGCTTTATGGCTGCGTCCGAAAGGCAGACCTTCCTGTATTTATGTGTTTCGAATACATTCTTTACTGTTATTGTAATATCAACACCCTTTAATGCCACTTTAGTTACAATAGTTTCATTAAAAATAAAGAAAGAATATTTATTTTAAAAACTTATCAATTACACACATCTATACTACTTATAACAGGTACATAAAAAAAGAAAGTTTAAAAATAAAAAATTTCGTCGAGGGCCGTACCCTGGGGCATCGTGCCTAGAAGGCTAGCAACATTTCCCCTTTGAATTGCTAGACTTATTTTTTGGCGGAAATATCTGCCAGCCTTGTGGTCACCGGAGGCTTCTACGAAACTATACGTCAGCTCGTTTGCTACAAGTTTCGTCTGTGGCCCCCAGGGACCCAGGGTTTCAAACGCAAAAGGCACAACGCTGTAGCACCGACCAAGGTTGGGGGTATTTGAGTCTTATGCGGTTCTCCGCCGCTCGGGCCACAGAGCCTGCGCCGCCCACGCTTGCAAGGACGTGTGAGGAGGCTACAGTTTCCACACAGGTTGCGTCCCACACTAGCTGTCTCCCTAGTTTCCATGGAACGACAGTCATACCGTCAGGCTTCTTACCGTCACTGCGACAGATTCCAGTGGGCTCGAGAATACTTTCTTTGTTTATTTTGCTTTATGTCCCTGTAATTATAATACAAAGAACCTGGGTCTGATAATCGATCATACACTGTCTTGGAGACCGCAGGTAAATGAGGTTAGTCGACGCATGCATTTTTCCTACCATTCTCTCAAGCGGCTTCAATTCTTCTTGCCATTCAATACCAAGGTTATGCTTGCTCAGTCTTTACTACTTCCTCTTCTCGACTATGCCGATGTTTGTTATTTGGATGCTACTGAGGAGCTGCTTAACAAACTGGAGCGCCTACAAAATTTGGCAATCCGTTTCATATTCGGTTTACGGAAATATGACCGTGTCTCTGAATTTCGAACTAAGTTGAAATGGCTGCCAATCCGACTTCGCCAAGATACGCATGTTCTTTGTCTCCTTTACAAAATTCTACATTACCCCTAGCTTCCTCATTATCTGTGTTCCCGTTTTTCTCCCTTATTCCCCAGTTCCCGCCCAAAACGTACCTGTGACACTAGATCACTAATAAATCCCCAATCCAACTCGAAATTCTTCCACAACTCTTTCACGGTAAGTGCAACTCGTATGTGGAATAAACTGCCTGCTGGCATTCGTGACAGTCCATCGGTGGCATCTTTCAAACATAAATTAAAAGAGCACTGCCTGTCGAACGCGTTAGATAGCTAATAAGTAACATATATTATAGAGTAGTAATTTGTTTAGATTATAATATATATTCTGCTTATGTTTGTATTTATGTATATAAAGTTCATGTAGGTGTGTTTGTCTGTCATATGTATATATTATCATCCTATATATTATATTTGATTAAATTTTTTTACTCACATTTAAATTTTAATTTTATTGTACAATAATTAGTCCCGCAGACTTCATTTTTCACCTAGGCTAGAGTCGGCTGGAAGAGATTTCTTGTAGAGATAAGCTCACCTTTGTATATGTCCTTTATAACTTGTGTTTCATGTATCTTTTCTTTGTGCAATAAAGAGTTATTATATAATTTCACCAGCAACCTTACCCTTTAAAACCGGAATGCAGTAATGCTCACTTAAGGTGGCTGTGCTGCCCTCTTTGTCATAAACAACGCATACGCATTTTGGTAACTTTCGAGATATTGGTAAAGTCTTTTGTTCCTTTAAACAATGTCAATTATGCTCATTTTGCTTAACAATAAAATTGAAACTAAACAATGTATAAAAAACCGCATATACGGGGTTGTAGATCTTGTTTCGACTCTAGATATCGCACTGCTATTAAAATAGTGTTGTAACTGAAAATATGTGGAACTTCATATTATATACTATTATTGAACGTAAAATTTACAAGGTCATCCGTCCATCTAGTAGGGGGCCGTCCCACTGAACGCTTTCCGGTTCGTGGTCTCCATTCAAGAACCTTTCTGCCCCAACAGCCATCAGTTCTACGAGTTATGTGCCCTGCTCACTGCTATTTCAACTTGCGAATCCTTCGAGCTATGTCGGTGACTTTCGTTCTTCTACGGATCTCCTCATTTCTGATTCGATCACGTAGAGAAATGCCGAGCATTGCTCGCTCCATAGCTCGAGTGACTTTGAGCTTTTTTATGAGGCCCATAGTAAGTGACCACGTCTCAGAGCCATAGGTCATCGCTGGCAACACGCACTGCTCGAAGACTTTTGTCTTCAAGGACTACGGTATTGCGGACGAAAAGACGTTCCGGAGCTTCCCGAAAGCTGCCCGAGTCTGATTCAACGATTGACCTCTTTTTCGAAGTTCAATATACACCATTGTTATTTCTTCTATAGTCAAGCTTTGCCTTATGTCGAAGAAATCGACATCATACAAATTTCAATTAACTTTGTGTCTACAGTAATGGGATGGTGTAAGGGGCTACACTTATTCAGCAAAATGCGTCGGGACGTTGAAGACGACCTAGAGCCTGAGGAATCTGAAGATTGTAATAAAAAACTAATGAAGTGCTGGAATGGTGTACGGTTTGTACTTTTATGACACATCTAAATATATTATAATAAATAAATAATAGATAATAATCACATACGTAAAGCGATATGGAGGGCGAGGAAGGCCAAATAAAAGATGGATGGATTGTGAGAAAGATGATGGATCAGAAAGGTGTGAGCATGGAAGTGACGGTTGATAGGGGAGAGTGGAAGAAAAATAAATGTTGTACTGACTCCACCTATGGTTAGATAAGGACACAAGAAAAAGAAGAAGAAGAATATCACACGTTGCTTTTATCCCAAAAAAGTAACTAAAGCACTTGAGTTATGGATTATTTTTTATAATATCAAAATAAGCTATACGCCTGTCTATAACAGTTGCAATGTCATTCAGAGCTTTAAATCGTAAAGATCTGAAGGGCACTGCCACTACGCCCGTAACCCTGAGACATAAGTTGACAAGTCCCATGTGCTTGTAATTTCACCAGCACCTTACCCTTCAAAACCGGAACGCAGTAACAATTAATGCTTAGGGAAAAAATCCAAAATTACCTCATTTGGGACCTCAGCGACGGCGACACCCTAACAGATACCTATGCAAGATATAACAGAAACAGATACACAGATATGATATAACAGAAACAGGTACCTATGCTAACCACTCGAGCACGTCATCTTTAAAACTTCTGTCATTTTCAATATAAAATGCTTTGAGTTCGTAAGATTTTTTGTATAATCGTAACGTACACACTCATAGCCCCGCACTAGAAAAACCCTGTATCGCGGGTGCAATGGACACACATAGACAACTACAAATCACACCCAAACTTACGAGATAAATTTTTTGCAGGCCATATTTTATGGCATTCGGGCATGGTAGCCGTTCTGCAACGGAGGCAGTTAATATAAGATTGGTGCGCAAATTGAAAAAGATCATATTTGATAATTCCGATACGTAACTTGCATCTAATGTCATTTGCTAAACTTGACTATTAAAGGTAATTACGCTATTACATAAGTACACGAGCAGTCTTGACCGATTGTGTGCTTGTAACGAGTACAACATGTAAAATATGTCGCGTATAATAAGCTTAAGATGTTTTGTGACTTGTCACGATCCAGATCATTTGGAGCGTGCGTAATTAATGGGCGTAATTGCCGCTGAATTAGACCTATCTTTACTGGCAACGTTAAGCGCGATTTTGATAATGTGCGGGTGTATGTATGTTGCAGCCCATCGGATCTGTGTCACAACTGGCGTGCTTTTAAATCTTCATGCGATAAAATATACGACGAATGCCATGATCTCAATGAAACATGTGAGTTGCATCAACCTAAAAGTTATAGCCTGGCAACTACTAATTTAGTCTATGATGATGCTTGCCACTGGCGAGGCGAGACGAGTATCCTAGCGCATCTTTGGTTGAAAAGGTCCAGACTGACGAGGATTGGCGAGGCGAGAATTGAAATATTTGTTGATGTAATGTTATACTGTATTGCTTGCTTACATAGTTTGTTATACTCCGCAACGGAAAGACGATTTTCCGCGCGAGCTCGCGTTGATTATTAATATCAATCGCGAGATTATGGGGTAAGATTTGAGATTTTAAAAAATATTGCTTCATATTGTTCTTCCGTTAACATATTTAATAATAATAATTTACGGCATATGTTACTCAGCGGCGTGTGTATCTTCGCTATCCACAACAACAGCGTGAGCTCGCGCGAGGTCGCGATTGCCCGCCTGATCTCGTGGCAATTATTGATGGAAGTAGCCCGGCGAGATTTTAATTCTCATCTTACCTCGTCTCGTATCGCCTCGCCGTTGGAAAATCACCTTTAGACTCTTAAAATTGAGAGAATATTAAGATTAGGAATCATTTTGCTGTGTACCCAAAACGTATTATCGCACATGAAATCAAATACTATAAATTGAGGAAACATGATTTGAAAATCAAAAAAATACTGAGTGAACCATATTGCGAATAATGGGATTATTTTTGTTTATACATAATAATTAGTTATCCACTTACAAACATAAATTGTTTGAACTTTCAAATCGTGTTTTCGCAATTCCATCATTTTTTAGTTATGACAGTATTTGGTTTCGCGTGCGAATTATGCTGAGCTAAACAAAATATCACGAACCCACCATCTGTCAGTTTGCGTCAGTCAGTCTGATGGCCAAAAATACACAGCAGCGGTAGGCCGAGGGAAAAGGTCACAACAAGAATATTCACATAAATATTTATGAAAAGCGAAGGGTGATTTTTAAGTGTGTTACAACTTCCGTCGAAAAAAAGACGTATAAAACTTGTTTCAAAAATTTGTTTATTATTTGAAAGAAAGTTCCTGGGCAATGTATTTAAAAAGTCATTTCAGGCTAAGGCTTTGCTTGTCCTGGTAAAAAAAATCAGGACTCTAAATAATTCTAAAAAATTTTTATTTTTATAGTGGGCACGAAAGAAACAAGGGCGTTTAATGTAATTTCAGATAAAGTGGACTTGATTTTATTATTATCGTTCTTTAATCTCTCCGGACTAAACTAAGCCTCACTCTACATTTTGTTGTAAGGTTGCCATGTCCATGAAACAAGAATGAAAAATAGGCTGTTGGTTAAATAGATGTTTTTACTGATTATTTAAGTGACTTATGTCTCAAAAGTCTTTATAATCTCGAGATTGCAAATATCAGCATTTGAAAATAAAAAAAAATCGTCGAGTTAAGCGAAATTTCTGGGGACAAGATTCTCGGGTTCAAAGCCCTATTTAAAGGATAACGGCCGACAAAGCTGTTTTTAACGAATATCATTCGATTGGTAAAATTGATTGTACCATTGTTTGAATTCGTTTTTAAGAGCAATGCTATACGATGCGACGCAGCGTTATACACGTAATAAATTAAAACTACAAGTCACGCGGTGCGTTGTGACGGCGCGCGATGGTTGAATGCGTGCGCATAGGATAAGGGGTCAGGAGACGAAGCGGGGAGAGGTGCTGCAGGGCAAACGCCCCGCAAGCTTAGCGGTGTTACGTTGCGTTACTGCTTTACGTATGTGGTTAATGAATCACTCTTGGTTAATAAATCGTTGCGACGATACAACACACCGGGAACACCCGTGTGGCATGGCATCGCTCTAAGGTGTATTTCTTATGGTGGCTCTATTGGTGTATTTCAATGTAAATATACATTGAAATACACCCAATGACTTGACATGTCCCCCAAACGAGCTAAGTCAAATGGCATGATCTTGATTGCGCCTATTCATTGGTCCAGATATCGAAATCACGAGTCTTTTAAAGATCTATTAAATTTTCACTTGTGGAATGGCGCCATCTATCACGAGTCACCTGGGTCAATGTCATCCATATTTTCAAATAATAATTCGTTAATTACTGTCTAATGGTATTCCATGACGGTAAGGCGAGCTCCCAAGTTATTTTCAAAGTGAATTTTAACAATTTAAAAACGTTGTTCAATAGAAAGTCTGTCGATAATGAAATGCCTAACAATATTGAACAATAGTTATTTGTTATGTAAGGCTTGTTGTTGTGCTTGTATTGAATCCTGAGCGTAGCGAGGGTTTCAAGCCACGAGACGCAAAACAACCTTGCTGCCGAGCGAAACACGCAACTTTTCACCTCACTATAGCGAGGAAAATGGTAGATGAAAGAAAAACAGTTGAACTATAACAAATCAGTTTTATTCATTCATACACATTGACTTACAATTATATGGACGTCGGGTCCGCGCTAAAAAGTGTCCGCACTTGTAAGGCGCTAAAATCGTATACAGAGCGCGACAGTCTTCATTTGTTCTACTGACAGCGCGATACTGCGATGACATTACAATTTAAATTTCGAATAGGTTGACTTGGGACATTTTTTTCGTGGTTTTTGTATTAGACCCGTCGTCCATTTATTTGTAAGTCAATGTTCATACATCAAAAAAATATTTAATAAAAGAAAATTAGTTACCGTTGTCAATTTAATGTCAACAATAATAAGAATTAAATTATACCAACGGATTTATATTACATAAATATGTACGACAAATCGCATAGTTGAATGTGTCATTATTATTACTCCTTTCATCGAAAGAAAAATTAAGGCGCACCCATTGACTTACAATTATATGGACGTCGGGTCCGCGCTAAAAAGTGTCCGAACTTATAGGGCGTTAAAATCGTATACAGAGCGTCATTCACGCTTTAGTCTTCGTTTGTTCGACTGACAGCGAAGCAAGCAAACTTAGACAGTACTGCGATGACATTACAATTTAAATTCAACGTTTTAGCTTTTTCATATTCCATTACATGTCACTACGTTTAAATAGGTTGACTTGGGACATTTTTTTCGTGGTTTTTTTTATTAGACCCGTCGTCCATTTATTTGTAAGTCAATTGGCGCACCACAGTCATCGAGTACATAGCCAGAAATAGAGGCGAGATATCGTTTAATTTGTTTGAAAACTATTCTGCCAAATCATTCCGGTGACAACTGCGCTCTGATTGGCCAGCCCGAATTCGAAACAATTGACGGGTGTCGTCAATTGTTTTACTTCAAATCGACCAGTTTAACTTGAGCTTTGCAAACTGGTGGACGAAAATTGAAAAATTACATACCGATGAAATGTGATTCCGTTAGTTTTGTAATTAGATGTTTTGCTATTTTTCCCACATAACACACAGATAATATCTTTAACTATGGAGCCGATGATTAATTGTAATAAAGATTTATTTCAACAAATCTTTGGCTTATTGATTGATTGATGACAAGAAGTCATTGATTGCCATATTAATTCTATAGCAATTAATGACTTCTGGCAATAAGCCGACGAAATATAGAATATTTTTGGAATATACGGCGACGTACACACAGGTCAGTTGTTGGCGCTGCAATATTTCAGCTTTCTAATTTGTGATGTCAATGCAAACGAGAGTTGATATTTAAAAGTGATATAAGACCCATTCGCCTGATGAGTTGCAAGGGATGATTATTATTATATATATGTTATTTCGTCTCTATTTTTGGTTATATACTCGATGACCACAGTCCATCGTCAAGATCGAATTTCAAAAACCTTTTCCATGCTAGCGTGGAAAAACGCTTTTGCGCACAGATGTCCAATGAGAAAGAAAGCCTTTCCGAGCTAGTGAAGTGAAAAAATAATTAATACACTTAAACAGATTGCAACTAGATACACAGCTATGCAGGTCTCCTTTCTTAAAATTTATTTTTCTTTGAAAAATGTCAAGAACGTAGGTTGATTTTGTTTTACTCATTCCAGATCTCTAACTCAATTTCGATTTCGATCACGTTATGATTAGGACGGTAGTACACCTTTCTGAAGAAGTGACACACCTAAAAATACTCGTATTCTATAAAATATTGTTATCTCGATGTAACGTGTGTTTGCAGTTTGGATGAATCAGTGGTACATGAAGGAGAATATATGTATGGACTGGTGGATAAATTACGACGACGCTAGTCGCCGCGCGAACGGGCTTGAGATCGCTAAACAAAGTGACTCGGCAGGGAATCAACCTGGAGAACATAACAAAGAAACATTGAAAAGCCTTTCGTCGTTTGTGGGATATGCTTAAAGCTCATACTAACGGAATTAGTAGAACAATATGCACAGGAAAAGAAAAAACTTTTCAGGATCAAAATTGCGTATATTTTTTCAAACAAATCAACGATCGGGTCCCTTACAGGTCCCATTGTCGCGACTGACAGAATTATTTTAAGAACGCAGACATCAAATTTATTTAGAAAGTTACATAGTCGTATAGTGGGCACAATAACAACTTTGAAATGGACTCAAGTAAGATCTTAAGTCACGCCTTGTTTAAGATTGGCAGTAAACGTGCCCAAATAACTTTTTCTTTGCCATGTACCACTAGCAATGTCTCATATAATGATCCTATTTTTCGCATGTTGTTATGAGCTCTATAACAACCTTTCTAAAGATTTGGACTTATTCTCCCATAGTCGCTATACTTATTTAAATATTTATAAGGAGAAGCTGAATATGTTGGATATTTAAGAATCTCATGTTTTATATACGTGTAACATTATTTTTTGCTATTGTTTTTAAGTGCAAATTTCAATTTTTTTTTTATTATGTTTAATAACCTGTTAATTTGTAAGTACTTATTTGTTTTGCAAATGCCGTGCATGGCTATCATAGGAATACAAATTTACTCCTATTATAATGCATGTTAACTTTAAGCGTCTTCACAGTTTGTATTCTGTAGCTATGCCAAAAATAAATAAGAAATGTAGGCAAACTATGTAATGTAAGAAATAAAGAACGTTTAATGTAATTTTAGATAGAGAACTGATTTTACTACTTCATATTACTGCCGTTCAGTCTCCACAGATTATACGAAGTTGCAATCTACAATGTTGCCATGTCTATGTACTTACATACTATATACTTTGTACTTACAAAGAATAAAAAATGACTGTTAGGAATATTAAAAATGCATATATTATTTGTGAAAAGAATATATTTTAAAAAGCGTAGAGTTTTTTATACGTCAGGAAATCTTCATGGATTAGACGAAAGGTTATGTCGGCTTCGTACTAGTACTGTTTCACCTCGTCGCTTATTCGTGGGAACACGGGAACGTAACTGCACACTACCGCGAACCCACCAGCGACCGCCGTCTCCGGCACCACCTTGGGAGGCTAACCATAGTTCGCCACCTTGGCCCAACACGGATTGGAGACTTCACATATTTTGGGTTGTGAACCTTCTTCGACGTGCAGGTTTTTGGTTTCACCACGATGTTTTCCTTCACTGAAAAGCTCGTGTCAATTTCAAATGTATAAATTCACACATAAATTCCGAAAAACTCAAAAGGTGCGAGATCGGATTCGAAGCCATAGCTTCTGCTTGAGAGGCGGTCAAACCATTAGGCTACCACGGCTTATGGTAATGTGTAATAATCGCATAAATCTGAGAGAATTATAATACGAAGTGAAAGTAATTTTTCGGATCTAAATTGCGTAAATTTGTTTTTTCAAATAAACCAACATTTCGGGCCCTTTATAGATCCTATCGTCAAGACTGACGGAGTCAAAACAAAAAAATATGCGATTTAAAACAAAAAAAAGTTTCATTTCATATCAGGAACTATTGTGAAAACGTGAGAACTCCATTTACTATTATAATTATATAAATTATTAAATTGTACCTGTTTTTGTCATATATATGGTTTTATCAGTATAAAAAGTCAGTTATCTCAATTTATCACAAGACTGACTTGCTTAGTTTTTCGCTTTTGCAATACAGAACAGCTGTGAAAAATATATTATATCTACTCTGCAATTAGAAATGTCACTTAAATATAGCTCCTAGAAACTATATTTGTTTTTATCTTTTTCAAAAAGTGTTATTTATTATTCATAATGTAGAGCGGTTACACACGGAGACTTTGAGCCTGTATTGCTAATCGTCCACCTTTACACACCGCCGATTTTAAGCACCGATTTTAAGCAGATACAATTGCTTATAAATTACAAGTGCAATCGCCTATAAATTACAAATGGAGCGCGTTTCACGAACGCGCGTTTGCATCGCTGCTAAATGCCGCCGCGTGTAACCACTCATAAAGTATGTAATTTATGTATACTATTATACCTTTCATTTATGAGTCAATCAAATTAACTGATTCACGAGGAATTGCCCCATCGCTAGTCGGATGCAAACAATGTTACTTACGTATTTACACGAACGAGGAGCTACGGCTTGCTTTTTTCAGGCATTCTTATTGAAATGTCGGTTAATGCTTGTTGGTATACTTAGCTATATTAAATATGGTGTTGTACCTTTTGAATAATAAAGCCATATCGTCGCCTTATTTTCTTAAAGCACAAAGTTACTGAAATGCAAAAAAGAGACTGTATATACAAATAGGAAATGAAACTATTTTTCCGGATTTAAATCGCGTATATTTGTTTTTTCAAACAAACCGACGTTTCGGGCCCTTTACAGGTCCCATGGTCACGGTTGACTGAGGTGGTACAGTCTTCAACCAGTTATGTCTAATATTAATGCAAACCACCCTATTTTTTCACTATAGTTACAATAGTTATTAATTATATACCTTATTTTTAATTTTACAAAGAAAACATTCCAATTTACGCTATATTAAGTTTTACCAATTATTTTATAGAATGAATTTTTATTAAGTTCAATTTATTATTAATTATTAATAGAAATTAGAATAAACTAAAACATATTAATTAGTACTGCAGTCTTATGTCTGTTTGGGATTTTTTATTAGAGGTTTGTTTTGAAAAAACAAATATACGCGATTTAAATCCGGAAAAATAGTTTCATTTTCTATGTGTAACAATCGCGAAAACCTAAGAACTCGATATGTATATACAAATTTAGCAGGCTAATTTTACATCACATTATCTTCATATTCATACACTGTTACCTATTCTTAAAGAAATGTATCCAAATTAACACCCTTGATTAATAGAAAGTCTTGCTATCTCCTGAATAGTAACTCTATAAGCTACGAGTTTTAGAAAGTAAGGCATCGATATTTGATGATACGTCAAAAGTGCTTTAATCACATGAAAGTTCTAAAAACAATTTAACCTGTATGAAACAAGTTATGTTTAGGTACATAGCAGGTTGTAGCGAATATCAGCATTGCCATCCGTATTGATTAATGCTGATATTTATTGAGGACGTTTGTGTTGTGACATTAATTTACAAACCATCCAGAAACAGACAGCAAGCCCAAAAAGCAGCTTTGTCGTCGTTCTTACCTTTGAAAAAATATCAGTATGATTGAGATAGGCTAGATTGATTGATTTTATAGAGCTTCATTTGTTCGTAACAAGCGTCACAAAATCATTGAAAAAATCTACATCAACGCGTTCGTCGCCGGCTAGAATTTTCAAAAGTTTTCAAAATATACATTGGCTTATATCACTGTTTTTGATCTCATTTGTATACGTACATAATTTTTTTTGTGATATTTCATTATTTGCCTCTACTTTGGGATTATCTTTAGTGCCGGTCATTTCAACCCAGCGCGGCCTAAATGCAATAATTATTAAGTTTAGGCCGCGCCGGTCACAATGCTTTTACTTAAAACTGACATACGTCTTTCATTTGAGATTGACATTTCATATGAACTATTTTTTTTCTTAGTTTGTAACTTTTAAAGCCAATTTGAAATTAAAGTATTTTTTTATCCGAAATATATATTTTTTCCTCTTAGTCTTGAAAAATATGTATGTCAGCAGTTCGTCAGGGCCACGCCGATAATGTTATATGGCTAATATGTAGCATTTGCGTTTGCGTTTGCGGTCATTTTAACCCCCACACGGCCCCGATAGGTAGATGAGATGCCGCTCATTTTGACCCACCACGGCGATGAACGTGTTAAGAAAGCTTTTGCGAGTAGATTCAATATCAATACTTTCCTCACGATTTTTTTAATTAGATAAAATCAGCATCTGCTGATGGTAAAGTAAAAAATCAGCATCCGCATCCGCTGATATGTGAAAAGACCTACATCAGCAACAACCGTAATAATATGTAGAAAATGTGAAATTTTATGATTAATATAAGCTCAAAAAAGTTAACCGACTAAGTTTGTTCATAGAATATGTAAGCCTTCCTGAAAAGTAGTCTTTTCGCAGATGTAGCCTCATTATACTACGCTCCTATTGGAAAAATTTATATAAGTAAGCGCGGTAACCGTCCGGCTACCTCGCTTTCACGTACATTAATGGCGAATCTGAATTATATTTACTAGGAATAATATTAGCCGCCGTTTAGACTAAAGACATGCGAGCCTCGCCTGAGCATCGGCACGCGGGGCGGCGGCGGGCGGGGTGCATTCCATTCCCTTACACCCCTTTTCATCTTCCAAGACAGAATTTTGAGTAACTGGATGAACCCAGGTCGACGAGCAGTAATGGCGTGAAGTTGATATTGGTTTGCTCATTTAAGTTAAAACATAAATGCTAAATAAATAGAGGGTATTTCGCTATAACAGTTCGGTCTCTAAACATGTCACTTGGTCACCGGCGGAAGCCGCGCGGCGTGCGCGCGGTGAAATTCCTGTCAAATCTACAGGATATATCACGGAGAGTGTGCGATGGAATTGCATCATTTGATTCCGCCTTCCCCTTTCCATCATCGGGGGACTAGACGTGGGGATTCCACCCCTATGTCGTGGATATTACCAGGATTCGCACTAAGCGTTTCGCTTCCACATTTATATGGCGAGCGGTTAGAGAGTGGAATTCCCTACCTGCAGACTTGTTCCCCGAACGCTATAACTTGGACCTTTTCAAGGTGAGAGTGACATCACTTTCCATCAGGTGAGATGGAGGTCAAATGCGCACTTATTTTTTATAAAAAAAATCATAATAAAAAAATAAACGCGCCCTAAAAGCCTTTAGGAAAATGAAATTGTAGCTTTATCATTGCTACAAGCTGCGAGTATGTTGTCTGCCTTAAAAATATTCTATAGGATATTATTGTCGGTGGAGGTTCTGGTGAGGTGATGAGGAAACAGGCTCCTTGAGTGGCGAGGCGGGTATTAGTGTACCAAGAGAAGTAGGAAGTTTTTTGTATTACCAACACACGAGTGGACTAAAGATGTCTAAATAAATAATTTATTATTAAAGATACTCGCGTCACAATTACCGCGTCAATTTATAATACTGCTTCTAAAATTTCAAATAAAAAAATTGATCAGGTATCTCTGGATTGCTAAGTACCTAATTAGTGTTTAAAAACAACATTTACTAAACTAAACAAATGTTATAATTATTAATACAAAGATTTAACGCTAAGAAAAATTAGTTCGTTCCAACTGGATTCGAACTTGCAGAATTTACGAATTTGTTTTATGTTCACATGTTTGTTTTTGTTTTTAATTACTTTTTTGCCAAAACGCCACCAGTGAGAATAGCATGAAAGTTTTTCTTCACAAAATAAATTTAATATCATTGTAGTAAAACACCCCGATATTCAATAAATTTGAAAAAATATTACAAATAAACGATTTTTTCGTTTGAAATTATAAGAGAAAGGAAATTCGCCACAAAAACTTCAGAATTTAAAATGAACAATTAAAGCTTCGCAAAGCAATTGTTTTGTGTAACGCCATTTTTTTCTTTTTACAGGTGTCGAGACAGAAAATTCACAATGGAAAGCTGTGTAAAAAGAAGTCTAAACGATTCAAGTCGTTTTACGATCACAAAGGAGATAAATCTCACTTGAGGGAGCAAACAAGATGAGAGTAGACATTCTCCTAACCGATTCCCTAGATAACCTCACTTTAGACCTTCTAGACCTTTCCACATCAATGTATCTCACAGATACCTACGTGAACAAGACTCTCGAACTGAATGAGACGACAAACGACATAATATATTCTAACCAGTTCGAAGATGATACCTTCATCGTGTTCCTCGTCATCCTTAAATGCATTATCATGGTCTTCATTATTCTTGCTGCGATTTTCGGAAATTTACTTGTCATCGTATCCGTCATGAGACACAGGAAATTACGAGTTATAACAAACTATTTCGTCGTATCATTAGCTTTCGCTGATATGCTTGTAGCCATATGGGCTATGTGCTTCAACTTTAGCGTCGAAATCACGAACGGGGAATGGCTCTTCGGGTACTTTATGTGCGACGTATGGAATTCACTGGACGTGTATTTCTCGTCGGCGTCGATTTTACATTTATGCTGCATCAGTGTTGATAGATACTATGCGATTGTGCAGCCTTTGGACTATCCTCTGATTATGACTACAGCGAAATTGGGAATTATGTTGGCTGTTGTCTGGTGCAGTCCAGCTTTAGTGTCGTTTTTGCCCATTTTCATGGGATGGTACACAACGAATGATCATTTGGAGTTCAGGAAGAGACATCCAAAAGTGTGCAGTTTTACTGTTAATAAAGTGTATGCAGTTGTATCGAGTAGTGTCAGTTTCTGGATTCCTGGTGTTATTATGTTGTACATGTACTATAGGATTTACATGGAAGCTGACCGCCAGGAGAGGATGTTGTATAGGTAAGTTAATATAATTAGACTTTTTATTAAAAATTGACCTTAGAAATTCGAGGTATTAGATTTACCAAGTTTTATTGAAATTTGTTAAAGAAAGTGGGTGAAATCTAGTAAGCCGGATAAATATACTAACTTACCACCCTTAGAGAAAGAACATATTCTTGAAATGTCATTGTGACACCTATTGGTGTATTTTTCCCCTTTCCAACAAGAAAGAATCATCGAAATTGGTTCTCAAATGTCAGCAGTCAGTAATCGCGCAACAGACACGTAAAAAAAATAGGCGAATTGAGAACTTTTTTGAAGTCGGATAAAAATTATATTTATTAATCACTCATTCCACGTCAAACCGAGCACTTCATTATAATTGATTCATTTTTTAAATTTTGTAAACGCATTCTGTATATGAAATAGTGCAAGCATTGACTTACAATTATATGGACGTCGGGTCCGCGCTAAAAAGTGTCCGCCAAACTCCGCTTTAGTCTTCATTTGTTCTACTGACAGCGCGATACTGCGATGACATTACAATTTAAATTTCGAATAGGTTGACTTGGGACATTTTTTTCGTGGTTTTTGTATTAGACCCGTCGTCCATTTATTTGTAAGTCAATGAGTGCAAGTCACGATTTGAATGATTTTTGTGATGTAGAATGGAATTTCAAAATGGAACGGGTTCCATTTTTAAATTTTCACAGTTTGTTAATAATGGAACTGGGAATTGAATATTTTTACCAATCGAGTTCTTAGGTTTTCGCGATTGTTACACATCACATAGGAAATGAAACTATTTTTCCGGACGGTTGACTGTCAATTGTGACCATGGGACCTGTAAAGGGCCCGAAACCTCGGTTTGTTTGAAAAAAACAAATATACGCGATTTAAATCCGGAAAAATAGTTTCATTTCTTATTTTTACCAATATTTGAAGTTTTGATAATGAAAAAATACAATGAAATCTATATAAAAGCACTTGTTTCATTAGGATTACACGTGGCTTCATTATACAAACGGTACGAATTTTTACCGCAAAATGTTCGGTTTGACATGAAATCGGGTTAATAAATTTATTCCTGTCATAATATGATCCATTACTAAGCTGAGTCCTTTAGAAGATGCGTTGCGGACGTTGCTGTGCGCCTGTGAGCCCTATTCTGTGTCACATGGATTAAAATATAACATTAAGAGGGAGCATGCCAAAAAAGTTTTGACGTTGGCTCCGCCCGAATTTGTGAAACAAATATATGCCTGATGTTGGCGTGACATGCGACAGGAGATGTTGAATTTTGCGCATTAAAAGTACCAAATTCGTTTTAGCGGAATAACTCTAAAACTAAAGGGATTAAAAAGAAATCCGTAGTGACAGTTGTCGATCATGCATAAATGTAATTAATTATCTAATTTTTGTCCTAATAACCTGTAGCATTTCGAGGATGAATCGAAAAAATGTGAAAATTAGAGGTCATTTCGTGATTTTTATCTATCGAGTAAACTTTCTTGTTTTATGTTTCTGATTAATGTCTATGCTTGAATATAGCGTGTAGTTACTCATACAATATTTTATTTTTAACTTTAAAGTGGATATACCCCTCTAAAATCGTTTACACGTAATGAAGTTTTAATTTAATTTTCAAAGGCGTATGGATTGATTAATGTACAAGGGGTAAAGTAACGGTTATGGGAGCAAATATGAATCTTCGCTAAGAATGCGTAGTGTTAATCAAGTTGACGATCTCAAGTGTAATTTTTCAAGCAAATTACACTTGAAATTGTCAAGTATGAAACAAGGATATTTTTGAATTAAAATGAAGTGTAATTTGCAGATATTATGCAGCTATTATGTCCTATTTTGTTTATTAGACAATGAGTATAGATATTGTCGGATTAAATTATATGAATAAAATTGAGTCCCGCAGCAAGATCTTCTGCGTTCTCTATTGCTATGGCTTCTATGTTCTCTATTAAATTTGTAATATGGCTAATGTAAGGTAATGCGACTAGGTTAGGTTGTTATTTCGCTCGGCAATCGGCAATCTTCGTCGATCTTCGGCTGTTGTCGGATTTCGATCAGTCGCAATTTGCATTTGGTACCGACTGGACGTACTCGATCGACTTGGAAGTAAATAGAGAAGCTACTATTCTTTATTTAGTTTATATTTTTGTTAATTTGCTGGATATATTGTGAAGGAGTAAATGTTGTTATAAAAAGGAAAATAGTTTTACAGCTCTCTGTTGCTGACGTGGAAATCTAGTGTGAACGCAATAAAATTTTTGAAATTTAATTAAATCAAAAAGCTTATCAAGGGGACGTTACATAAGCGGGGTATTCTGTTACACTACATAAATGTTATCCCTACAACATATTTACCGAATTTTTTGTATAAACGTACAAAGGTTTTTTTTGTTACGATACTAAGAGACGAGACGAAAAAGTTGTACACCTGGTGGTTAGCGACACCTCTGCCCATAATAGTTTCAGTGCCACTCAGAGTTTTAAACCGCAAAGATCTGAGGGGGCACTTCCACTGCGTCCGTCAACCTAAGACATAAGTTGACAAGTCTCATGTGCCTGTAATTTCACCAGCACCCTTACCCTTCAAAACCGGACACAGTAATGCTAACATTACTGCTTGTATGCAGAAATAGGTAACGTGGCAATACTTCCCTGGACGAACTCTTTCACAAGGAGTTCTACTGCAACTAAAAAAGCATAAACAATGTAAACGGACAAAGGTCAAAAATACCATTCACTTTTGATTTGTTCTTCCATGAGAAACCACCACTGTTAATGACACTACTTCTGTAAACTACCTACCTTTTGCCTATATATATATAGTACCGAAAGGGTTGTGACCCTAACAACCGTGATCAGGAACACGGCAGTAAAACAGGAAACTTCCGGAGACTTCCGGTCCACAAAAGAAAAAAAAAACTGTAACAAATAAAAGGTTAATGTAGAAAAACAGCACATTAATAAAAAAACACTCTGTTAAATTTAGGCACTTACCCTTTATCGGGTTGTATTATGTTGAATTACAGATAGACTGTTATTCGCTTATTAAGGTCGATACATGATTTACATGGATTGTATTATGATTAAACTTGAAAAGAATAAAAAAAATTAGGCAATTTGATTTAGTAGTATCTGCTGTCTCCATTGACTTACAAATAAATGGACGACGGGTCTAATACAAAAACCACGAAAAAAATGTCCCAAGTCAACCTATTCCAAATTTAAATTGTAATGTCATCGCAGTATCGCGCTGTCAGTAGAACAAATGAAGACTAAAGCGGAGTTTGGCGCTCTGTATACGATTTTAGCGCCTTACAAGTGCGGACACTTTTTAGCGCGGACCCGACGTCCATATAATTGTAAGTCAATGGCTGTCGCGGTCAAACAGGGAGTCACCGTCGAAAGAAATAAAATCAGAATGCGAAGGAAAATGGAATAATTCAAAATTTTAAATTAAAATATGAGTAGAAGAAGAAAAACGATACGATATGAATAGAGAGAGGCGATACAAAAAGGTGGGATGACGGTGTAAGGAGGTCACACCGTCACAGTACAGTAGAACTGTAAATAGTCTTTGATTTAACGAGATTCTCTATTTCTTCTATTTGGCTGTAGCGGCTACAAAATTAAAATAAAACAACAATGAAATACTCTTTTTTTATATTACAAGAGATGGAAATTTTGTATTGAAGTGCATTCAATTTCAATTCAAACTAAAATTGATTAAAAAAAGAAGCTAGTCATATGAAGTTTAAAGTCCTGGTCAACAATTTTGTTACGATGCATTAAAACTTATTTTTCTAAATACAACATAGAAAAGAAAACTTTAAATTAGTTCTTTGAGTGTAGGTTCTTCGTTGAATATTTTAAAACACGTGATGAAGTCATTGAAAAGCAAACTAGAGCAAAAATTATGAATCTTTTATACCAACCTCGTTGCCATAAAGTAATTTATAATTATAACCGCTTGAATATGTGTATAATTATTTACAATAAATTACCAAATGAAATTAAATTATTTCAAGAACATACTTTTAAATTACAATTGACAAAAAGCCTTTTGAGACATCGCTTCTTTAGTACCTACCTACGCACCGCACCGCACCGCACCGCACCGCACTCCACTCCACTCCACTCCAATTAAATCCACTCAATTCTATTATCTTTGTCTTTTTGTACTTTAGTAAAAATTTTAAGCTGGTGACTTTATTTCGTTGCCAATTTCTGAGATATTTCTGAGTACTGAGACATCTAATAAAAAAAAACTTATCCACGTCGATAATTAAACCAAAAACTGTGTACCCACTCGCAAGATAAAAGTTAACACGAGTTTATAAACCGCAAAGCGCGGTGAATGATTTCTTAGTTTGTTGCCGAGTAAATTTGAAAGCAGTTAAAGAAACTCGGATCCAACGAACTTGTTAACTAAAGATTTTAGCTTACGTTTAATTCGTAGGGATGTGACGAGAGTATCAGTTCTGGCAAGTACTCGTAATATTAATTATTGGCACAGAACAATAAATACAGAAGTAGTGCTTAATTTGCGTGGTACGTGTGCCAACAACTCGCGGAGTTATGCAAACTTGAGCTCAATCCGCCATTTTCGCTTTGTACGTTATTATTTTATTATATATTTTTGGAGTGTAAAAATGATAGTCGTACTTATAATATCATCCATGGCGGTGTTTCGTAGCAACATTTATTTTATATAAATATTTTTTTATTTACCGTAATATCACACGCAAAATAGGCGCTTCGACGTCGAGTTGCGGAAACTAGCCCGTTTCACCAATACCAATTTACCGTAATAATTTTTTTGTTACAAGAAACGAAAGTAAACCTGACATCGCTGAAATATGGTCGCTTCGTTTTTTAGAGTACTAAATATACATTTCGAATTCGTCATCATTCAGCTATTGATAGCTAGATCGAAGCGTCGCAATTTGCAATAATAGATGGATATTGAACTTTTAACGATACGCCAACAGGGT